CACTCCAGTCTGGGCGACAGAGTGAGACTCCAACTCAAAAAATAAAAAAATAAAAAAAAATAAAAATAAAAAAATAAAAAGAAAATGGCATGTTAAGGAAAATATTTGAAAACTCTGACAGGCAAAAAGGTTTAGTGTAAAAATCAGTAAGAAAAACACTAACTCCAACAGAGAATATGGGCAGAGGGCAGGAGCAGATGCTTCACAAAAGGGGGAATTTCACAGCCAGGACTTCTCTGAAAATGTGCGGAAACTTCAGTTATCAAAAAAATGCAAATTAAAACAATTTTTTTTTTTTGAGTCAGAGTCTCACTCTGTCGCCCAGGCTGGAGTGCAGTGGCACACTCATGACCACCACAGCCTCAACCTGCTGAGCTCAGGCCATCTTTCCGCCTCAGTCTTCCAAATAGCTGGAACTCCAGGCGCACACCACCATGCCCAGCTAATTTTTTTTATTTATTGTAGAGACTAGGTCTCGCCAAGTTGCCCAGGCTGGTCTCAAACTTATGCATTCAGGCAGTCCTCTTGCCTCTGCCTCCCCAAGTGCTGGGATTATAGGCATGAGCCACTGAGCCTGGTTTTAAATTTCATTTTTTGGTGACTATTTATGGACACAGAAATGCTTGTAATATGATGTTATATGGAAAAAGCAGAATATAGTCGTATCCTCTGTGCGAATGCTTTTTTTTTTTTTTGAGCGTATATATCTACAGTGGAAAAGACTGAAAAGAAGTACATTCAAATGCTCATGGTGGTTTTCTGGGTGGTAGGGTAATCTGACTTTATGTTGTACTGTTTACATGTAGTTTGCAAATGGTCTGCAGTGAACAGTAGTTACGGCTGACATGTGTTCACCGAGTGCTTGCTTTGGGGAAGACCCCCTGCTCTCAGGGCTTTACACACTTAGCTAGTCCAATTTTCACAACAACCCTATTAGTACTTTCATTTTACCAATGAGGAAACGGGTACAGAAAGGTTAAGTATTTAACCAGGACTACGTGACTAGTCAGTGACGAGGTCAGGATTAGAGCCTGGGCAGTCTCACTTCACAAATTCAACCTAATCGAGTTAATAATCTGGACACAAGAGGAGAAAAAATGACCTAACCAGAGCCTTTGAAGTCTTGTTTATGAAGAATTGTACATTTTAATTCTTTAAGACCAGGGGAAAACCTTATCTTTGTTTCCTTGGTGCTAAACAGTTTCCCAGTGACATCATGAGTCACAGGCATTTGCAAGTGTGCTCGTCTTACTTGTCACTCACCATAAACATGCATTTGGGCTGACTGTTCATGTTCTTCTTGGACAGACGAGAATCCCAAGCAGCACGTTCCTCTGGATGAGTATGTTGTGAATCTAAAGAGCATGGTGCGGTACCTGAAGTCTGTGGACATCCCCGAGACCCGAATCATTCTTATCACGCCACCCCCACTTTATGAAGCAGACTGGGAAAGGGAGTGCCTCATGCAAGGTGAGCACACCCAGCCTATCTCCTAAACCCTGGACTGAATGACCAGAGAAGAGCTGACAGAGCTGTGGTTTCTGCCTGTGGGCTGCGGATTCTTAGAGGGCCTGCATAGCTGTATGAGTCTGAAGTTGAAAGTACGGCTTCTGTTAGGTCCTACTGGAGAACTTTGATGTAGACCAGGGATTCTGGCTTTGGGGAAGTCAGGAGGGAACCACCGGCCTTGCGTTTACTGACCTTCGAGTAGCCAGACTTTAAGGTGCATGTGCAGTCCACTGAGAACCGCCAAGAAGCTGCGTGAGCTTCTTGGGACAGTCAGGTGAGCCGCAGTGCTGAGTGTGGTGCTGGGTCCGATGTGGCCATGACTTGTAAGGGGTGTTTTTCCTGATTTCACACCACTGGGAGGTGCATGCCGCCATTTGCTTCCCTGTATCTATCTGTAGGTGGCCAGGTGAGACAACCCTTTCTCCACCCTGCCTATATAAACTCTTCCCTTTTCTGCCTATTCTTTGGCATCTGGAGAAGAGGTGTGGTGGTAAAATCACTTCACTTTTCTTCTGTTTAAAGTCACTATTATCTAACTTGAGTTTAATAGTTCTCTCAGGTTGACATACACAGCTGTCCCTCAGTATGCTCAGGGGATTGGTTCCAGGGCCCAGGGATACCTAAATCCACTCATGCCCCAGTCCTGCAGTCAGCCCTGCAGAACCGAGAATACAAAGTGGGCACTCTGTAGATTCAGGTTTCACATCCCAAAAATGCTGTATGCTTGCCCAAGATCGCACAGCCAGTGTCCGTACAGGAGTGAAATCCAGGAAGTCTGACTTGAAATCCCAGATGCGTTCTGTTACTTGAGTATACCCTTCACGTGGGTTGTAGCGATGCCCATTCTCTATGGTGCGGAAGCAGCACATTATCAAGTCACAACCAGCATACATCAAAGGGTGCCACATTGGAGGCACAGAGAGGTAATCTTGGGGAGAAATCCTGGCCTGGAAGGTGCAGTGACAGTAAGCTCTGGGCATCACGTCAGGACAGAAGGGGACTGTTGCTGTGTATGAGATTCTGGAGTGACAAAAGGCCCAGCAAACAGGTCTAAAGCACTACCGGAAACAACTCAGCCTGCCCCCCCAACCCCTCGCCATACCCCTCTTCCTCAGCCCCTGCAGCCATACCTGTGATGGGGGGAGGGCAAGTGTCATTCATATGCGTAGTCCCCAGAGGTTGATTAGATTTTTTTGTTGTTTCCCAGGAAGAGAATGTATATGAAATTCTGACGTTTTTATTTCATTTCATCTTTTTTTTTTGAGTTGGAGTCTCACTCTGTCACCCAGGCTGGATTGCAGTGGCAGGCTCCCAGCCACCGCAGCCTCGACCTGCAGGGCTCCGGTGATCCTTCCGCCTCAGCCTTCCAAGTAGCCAGAACTACAGGTGCATGCTACTATGCTCAGCTAATTTTTTTTATTTATTGCAGAGACGAGGTCTCATCATGTTGCCCAGGCTGGTCTTGAACCCACGGGCTCAGGCAGTCCTCTCGCCTTGGCCTCCCAAAGTGCTGGGATTATAGGCTTGAACCACCGTGCCCAGCCTCTGTTTCTATCCTTGATGGTAGTACCATATGGATGTTTAAAAGGTCAGAGATGAGTAACAGCAGGTAGGGAAGGGGTTATATCCAAAACATTGGTCCCGTACAAGTTAAGCTGGTCATACAGTGAAATTTACATGCAAACAGAATTGATCCCACATATGAATCAAAACCAGCAGAGTTTCTTCTTTTGCTCTGACGTGTGCAGGCCTTCCCGTGTCCACATCCAGCTGCCTGTGTCTTTGTGCTTTGACACCCCGTTTGGCGCCCTTCCCTACCCTTCGTCACTCTCCTGCCTGCAGCTTCCTGAGCCCCAGCCCCACTGCCCAGCAGCCTGGCTACCCCCAACAGCACACACGACCTCCTGATGTAGCTCACCTGGTGAGGCAGTTGTGCCTATGCTAGACGCATTCACGTACAACGTAGCAGCGGCTTTGCTGGAGCTTAGTCTTTTAATCCTCTCAGTATTCCTGTGGCAGGTATTATCGTCATCGTATGGAAGAGGAAATCTTAACAGTTAAGCACGTTGTTTCTAGTCACAGCTATTTAGTGGCAGTTATAGGTATCCGGGCTTAGGTCTCTGTCCAAAGCCTACAAATGCTTTTTCCACTGAATTCCACTTCTCACTTTATGAAAGAACTCAGGGTCTCAACACAGCATTCAGTTTCCAGGGTCTGCCATTTCCCTCCAGCATGTCCCTTACTAGCCTCCACCCCAGCTCTCCTAGGCCTCTTCTGCCTGTGCCTTTGTTCACGGTGTCCTTTACAATGTTGTCCTCAGCTCCTCAGAAGGTTCCAATTACTACTAAAGGCTCCTCCTTCTTCCCACTGCACTTTGTCCTCTGCTGGGTAGAACAGCAATGTGAGTCACCTGTGAGGCCCGCCGTGTGTTCCCCAAAACCCATGGCTAGGCTTTAATGGAACTTTGAAACTGTCCAGGTCAGTAGAATTTGCACACTTCTAGGCTTATCACTGCCACCTGGCTTTCCTCTCTTCAGTAGGTTGCAAACTAAATCGCCTGAACTCGGTTGTTGGTGAATATGCCAATGCGTGTTTAAAAGTGGCTCAAGACTGTGGGACTGATGTACTTGACCTGTGGACCCTGATGCAGAAGGACAGCCAGGTATGGTGACTTGCTCAGTCCTCGGTGAGTGCAACCATATAGATAAACCAGGTGTGTGTGCAGCTTTCTCAAGGCTCTAAGGGTAAATCCTCTTGAGTTCAGGGGGTGGGAGATAGGACTCTTGTATCCCAGCCACTACTGTTTGGGACTGGATGGTTTAAGTTCTTTCCACCTAAAAACCTGCCTTTCAATTTAATATGTAGACTATGAGTCAGAAAGAGTATTGACAAACTGGGGCCCTGAGCTCTTTTAGTACCAGATTTTCATGTTCATTGATTACACTAATGGGCCATCCTTACCTATTATACTCTCTAACAGGGAAAATAAAATGGCTCTTTCAGGTGATAACCTAAGAACCACACATCATGAGACTTAAAGACCTAAAAAATGTCCCAACTCAGACACTGAATGGTGTGTGATTTTATGAAGCTCAGTTCTGTTACATGGATACATGTCATTGCAGCACTAGTAAGAACTCTATGTGTTCGAGCACCTGTATGAAGGGCACGGTGATGCTACGGTAGTCCCAGAGGACCCTGGTCAGATACCTGAAATGAAAGGGGCTGGTGGTCTTTATGTCACGGGACCACAACTGGGAGAATGGTACACACTGGCATATAGAAAAACCAGACACCTTCAACTGAGTTCTCTCTCCCTTTTAGGATTTCTCATCCTACTTATCAGATGGATTACATCTATCGCCAAAGGGAAATGAACTCCTGTTCTCACATCTCTGGCCTTTGATGGAGAAGAAGGTCTCTTCTCTGCCTTTGCTGCTTCCTTACTGGCGAGATGTAGCAGAGACAAAACCTGAATCAAGTCTGCTGGGAGATGGAGACCATTAGTTAATCACAAGAAACCCAAGACTGGCTGTTAATTTACAGAACTTGAAGTTGCCAATACACAGAATCCTGATCAAAGAATTTTTTTTTTTCTCAAGCTTAAACCTGGGCTCATGACCCTGGGTCAAAAACATCTGCCACCAATAGTAATAATAAAGGTATTCACATTTCTCAGGGAAGTTTTATACTTAGGTACATCATGTTTTGACATTAAATATTTATTGATTGATGTAGAAATCATCAGTGCCACAGCTATAAAATATACCCTGAGCAGTCTGTTATTCTTAGAAATGGCAAAAAAGGTAAAGACTATTTTTTTTAAAAAGTCACAATTTTATAAAAATGGCTTTGTTTCACTCATACATGCACCCACACACCCCACTCACCTTATATCAAATAGTGAAAGTGTAGCTAAAATACAAGAATATCATGACTAGTTAAAAGATAGCAAATACCATAAGGTACAAGTTCAAGTATTAGTGTAACAAGTAACTGCGTAACATCCAGAAGGAAAAAAAAGGCATGATTTGTCACAGGTTTGGTTAATTGCCCTCAACGTTTACAAGTTCTCTCTTAAAATGTATTGGCTGGTGAGCACATTTCAATTCTTGGAGGAGAAAGCTTTTAACTGTAATCTTATGGAAATCGGAATTGAGGCTAATGATTTTTATCCTTCACAGCGTAGATGCAGACCATCCAGAATCCTGAAGCACCAAAGCAAGAAGCAATTCAAATGTCCACTTGTGGGTTTCTGAAGTTAACCAGTTCCTGGAGGGACAGTCCCCAGCCCAGAGGGCAGGCAGCATTCCCTCTCCAGGCCAGCTCATCAGCCCTCAGCCTGTTCTTTTTCTAAGAGATAATTCACTCTCTTAACCTCTAGTGTTTGAAAACAGGGAACCATACTCTTTCTAATCACATTTTGAAGTAGTTTAGGTTTTGTGGGTAGTGAATTTTTTAAGAGCATGACAACAGTATTAGGGATCCGTGGAGACACTTACAAAACAAAAATGGCCCAGCAAATTGGGGCCCTAAACAGTTGGCAAAATTGTATAATTCACTATAAGCTAAATTGTTTTTCTAGAAAGTACTAGCCTTAGATACCTAGCCTTAGAATAATGAAAGGCAATATTAACCCAAATGATTTCTTAGTTTAGATGTCTAATACTCCCTACCGCTAAGAGCTCTGGGTAATAACTAGAAGTAGACCCACACGTGAGAAAGAATGTATAACCAGGTTTATCTCACTCCTTTGTCTCTACTTGAAGGCAAAAATAAATAAGTCTATTCTGTATTCCAGTTGTCCTCACAAATAACTGCTAGGTGCCTCATCATGTTCAGTGGAGCATTACAGTGTATAAAAAAGAAAATCTGAGGCAGGGCACAGTGGCTCACGCCTGTAATCTCAGCACTCTGGGAGCCCAGGAAGGAATGCTTGAGCCCGGGAGTTCAAGACCAGCCTAGGCACCACAGCAAGACTCATCTCTACAGAAAAATCCAATTCGCCGGGAATCCCAGCTGTTTGGAAGGCTAAGGCAGGAGGATTGTTCTGAGTCCAGGAGGCCCAGGCTGTGGTGAGTTGTGATCATGCCACTGAACTCCAGGCCTGGGTAACAGAGACTCTGACTCAAAAAAAGTTAGAAAAACTAGTCATCTCTCTAGCAGTGGTGTTGTCAATATAAAAGGCTAAATTTACAAAAATGTAAATATTCATAACCCAATCCAGCTGTATTTTTTGCTCTTGTACCACAGGTTGAAGGATATTTTAAAGTTCAAAAACACTAAAACCTGAACGCCTCAAAATAAGCTAGATTCGCCTGCCTTTTCAAAGGGAAAAGGGCCCACCCACACAAGTATTGTTTACATGCAGAAAGTCAAACACATTACCAGCATCTGTGAAGTCACTTCCTTCTCCCAGATCTTCACAAAATATATGCTGTGATTTTTAGGTCAAATCTATAAAAATATTCTGCATAGTAAGTCAAAAGAGCTTAGAATATGATCCCTAAACTAGCACTCTGTTTCTTTGCTGTCAACTCGATTCTGACGCTGCAGTTTAAAGGAAGCAGCCTTTTCACTTCTAGTAACCGGATGGTCCGTGAGATCCTCAAAGGACTTGGCGGCTGTGGTGCTATTTGGGAAGGGGTCCTTCTCAAAGCCGTCCTCGTCCATATGCGAGTCTGTGCTGGGGTCTTCCTGGATAGTGTCCATTCTCTGGTGGTCCAGCTTTGGAGCTGTAGGCACTAAAGGGATCACAGGGGCAGGCTGAAGGCGGCCTGGAGTCTGGGGTGCAGGGAATGGTTTGATGATGCGGACGGACGCTGAATCCATGCTGCTCAGCATTTCAACATTCTGGAAAGACGTGAGTTCAATGGGTGGGAGTAAAAGATGAGTCACAAGTCTGCCCGGCTCCAGCCTCACCCACCCAGCAGCCTTACTCTTGGCACTGTGAGTCCTCTTGGGAGAAAAGTGCTAGATGAGGCTCACTCGACCCAAGAAGTCAGTCAGTTCACAGTTTACTAGTGTCCTGAAAGTAACAGTTTACTAGTGTCCTGAAAACTGCCATTTGAGGACGCAAAAGAGAACTCAAAGCTGTCAAGTTAAGAGCCTAAGACAGAAAATGATCTCAAAATCTTCACAAAGTGCTAAACAACCAAATCACTCCTCATAGCTGTGGGAAGGGCAGGAAGTCTCCGACCACGCAACTAATCAAAATTTGTCATTGCTGTCGTCAGGAGAGTTCACACCCAACTAGACCCTTCCTGCTGCACAACTAGCTGAAGAAAGCTGAGCTACAAGGGCTGAGAGCTCTTGCTGGGGTGGCCAGCTGAAGGTCTTTGCTCAACAAGGTCTCAAAGTACAAGTGGAAATTATTTTTTCTCTCATATGGCATACTTACACTGGGGTGAAACAGAGAGAGAGATTCAAATTGCTTATCCAACTTCTTATCCTAGAAAGAAAAGCAAAAAAGAGAAAAGTCATTTTTTTGTTTTGTTTTAATTTTAAAGATGTGGCGTACAATTCAGGGTTAGGTATAAATGATCACTCTGCAGGTACCCCTTGCTGATGGGGTGTGCCCCCTCCTCCCCTGGCAGTTTCCCACTACTGCCAATCCCTTTCTTATACATTATGATAGCTGTTCAGGGTCCGCTTATCAGTGATAACATGCGGTACTCAGTTATTTGGTTCTGTGACAGATCACCCAGTATTTTTTTCTTTTTTTGGAGTCAGTCTCACTGTCGCCCAGGCTAGAATGCAGTGACATGCTCACAGCCACCCCAGTGTCAACCTGCTGGGCTCTGGCAATCCTTCTGCCTCAGCCTTCCAAGTAGCTGGAACTACAGGCGTGCACTACTATGCCCAGCTAATTTTTTTGATTTATTGTAGAGACAAGGTTTCGCCAGGTTGCCCAAGCTGGTCTCGAACCTGCGGGTTCAAGCAATCCACTCGCCAGCAGGTCGAGGCTGCAGTGGCATGAGCACGCCACTGTACTCCATCCAGCCTGGGCAACAGAGTGAGACTCCAACTCAAAAAAAAAAAGAAAGCTTAGTTAATGGTCTTTTAAAAGAATGATGCCTTTTGGTGATTTATTTTGGTAGATAATTTTCAGAAAATCCCTAGAAAATTATCTGCCAAAATAAATCACCAAAAGGCATCATTCTTTTAAAAGACCATTAACAGCTTTCTTTTTTTTTTTGAGTTGGAGTCTCACTCTGTTGCCCAGGCTGGATGGAGTACAGTGGCGTGCTCATGCCACTGCAGCCTCGACCTGCTGGGCTCAGGCTATCCTTCCACCTCAATCTTCCAAGTAGCTGGAACCACAGGCGTGTGCCACCACACCTGGCTAGTTTTTTGATTTATTGTAGAGATGAGGTCTTGCCAAGTTGCCCAGGCTGGTCTTGAATCCTCAGGCTCAGGCAGTCCTCTTGCCTGGTTAATTTTTTGATTTACTGTAGAGATGAGGTCTCGCCAAGTTGCCCAGGCTCATCTCAAACCCCTGGCTCAGGCAGTCCTCTTGCCTCTTCCTCCCAAAAGTGCTGGGATTGCAGGTGTAAGCCACCGTACCTGGCTTTTACTAAGCTTTCTATAAAATATGCTCTCCTAAGGATAACACCAAAAAATGTCATGAGAAACATCAGGCTTGAATTTACTAAGAACAAATTTTATCTTTCCCAAAGATTACAAGATTAGAGAGGCTCAAAATTTTAATAAAAATTAAAATTTTTATTTTAATTAAAATAAAATTTACTTAAAGATTGATGACTTACCACACAATGGACAAGAATGCTGAAAGGAATCCAAAATATCAAGGAGAAAACCAGGACGGACCCTACGATGTTGTCTGCTAAAAACTTCCCTGTGAACAATTCCAAGCAGTGAATATCTTGACCAAGTACTTTACAAATCTAAAATAAATGCTCTTTGAATATTATCACTGTGTTCAAAGGCCACAGAGTTGCTGGCTAGACACTACTACTGATACAGGACTAAAAAGCATGTCTATGCTGCCTATATTAGATCTAACCACCTCTCCAAACCAACAAGTGTTTTTAAGGAAAGAGCCCTGGTATACTTGTTGCTAAGAGATTCCAGAATATTCAAAAATGCTCCCTGAAGTGTCAAAATACTAATCACATTGAATGCTAGTACTAGTAACAACTGCTTAAGAAGACAAAGTTTTTGTTATCTGAATATTATTTTTGTGTTTTAAACTCTAAATTATGAACTCTTAAGGATATAATACATCCTTGCTTCTGCAAAATATGAGGCTTTTTTTCTTCTTTTTTTTATAGAGATGAGGTCTTGCTATGTTGTCTAGGCTGGTGTCAAACTCCTGGGCTCAAGCAATCTTCCTGCCTCGGCTTCCCAAAGTGCTGGGATTACTGGCGTGAGTCACTGAGCCTAGACAACCTTTTTTTTGAGTCAGAGTCTCACTCTGTTGCCCAGGCTGGAGTGTAGTGTTACACTCCCGGCCACTGCAGCCTCAACCGGCTGGGCTTAGGCAATCCTGCCTCAGCCTTCCAAGTAGCTGGAACCACAGGTACACGCCACCACACCTAGCTAATTTTTTGTTTTATTATAGAGACAAGGTCTTGCCAAGTTGCCTAGGCTGGTCTCGAAGCCCTGGGCTCAGGCAATCCTCTCACCTCTGCCTCCCAAAGTGTTGGGATTGTAGGCATGAGCCACTACACCCAGCTTAGAGAGCAACTTTTATTTTTTTATTTTTTTTGAGTTGGAGTCTCACTCTGTCGCCCAGACTGGAGTGCAGTGGCTGCT